TGCAGATTTAGGGAGTGATCACAAAATACTGCTATTTCATACAGATGTACGATGGCTCTCCAAAGGAAACATGTTGGCGAGATTATTTGACCTTTGATTGAAATGAAAGGTAATCATCTTCTTGGAACAGCAAAAGCAAAATGAACTAAGCGTGGCCTTCAAAAAACATTGTACCCAAGTAATATTGGCTTATTTGTTAGACATTTGTCAGAACTCTACACACAATTTTTAACACTGCCAACAAAATTTGCCAGCGAAAGTGAAACACAAATTAATAATGACCATAGATAAATAATATAATGACGGTGTAAACAGTTTCTAAGAAGATCTAGTTTTGACCGACTGTCGATGCTTGCACACAGCGATCATGCGACCTTGGATTCCATGTTTTAAGCGGCCAGGGTATAGTCGATCGAATTCCCCACGTTGGGCGCCTAAATAAATAAAAATGCACAATCTTTAGACGCAATAATAGCTAGCAATTAATTCTTTAGCGTTAGTGTCTATATTTACCTTTATTTCCTCACTCATTTACCATACTCTGGTAAATTATGATCTTTAAGACGATTTTTTTAATAATTATTGTTCTCGTCATATTCCTCGTTAAAATATCATCGTGAAGTAACAAAAATCGTCTTAAAGACAATTATGCACACCCTAACCTCACCTAACCTTATATTTTTATTTTCTTTTCAATTCTATCTTTGGTGGTCTGCGTTTTGTGATGGGCATTTTCCCTTATACTTTGTAGTAAGTAATTTTTGGATCTTTGCCTGAGCATGCGACTGGTGTATCAACTAATGTTTGTATATATTCATTCTCGTATGTAAAAACACATTTTTTATGGTTTAATTATACATTTATATAATTATAATTTTCAGGCTTTTATAGCGTAAGTTTATATTAAAAAATTGCATGGTAATGCTGTAAAAAGCCGCTATAAATTTTTATGTTTGTTTTGTATGCTTCGGAAATATGTAGATTACTAAATTAAACGTTAAAAACCGGTTTTGTTGTTGAATACTTTTATGTTTTTGTTTTATTGTTAATTTCGAATTAATGTTTTCCGCAAACCTTTGAAAAAATCTCAATTTTTATTAAAAATATCTGCTTTTCTTGTATTTTTTTTCGAATGTTCAATATTTTCTTCAATATATAATCTCTTCTTTCACCACAAAAACGATAATAATCACAATCCTTGCTAACTATTATCAATTTTGTGTATCGTATCACTTAATTTCACTCAAAGTTGCTTTTTTATTGCTACCACACCTAGTAATGACTAATAAACTGGTTGTCAACGTAAAAAGATCGATATGTTTACACAATTTATTTACTACTTGTACAATTGTTACTTCATTCTACAAAATCCAGCTTAAGACTAATTGTAGTATCTTAAGCCGGTCATTCATCAGGTCGTCTTCTTTGGAAGTCGCACACGTCCAGTACCGTCACGGTGAAGGCGACAGTACACTGTCCTATTCCTTCCAATACGTATAATATCTTATTGATGCATTACAAACATTTTATCATTATCGACATTTCTGCTTTATCTCTCTTGTACTTTTTTTCGAATGTTCATATTAAGTCTTGTGAATACTTGATGCTCCTTTAAGGCATACTCCTCCTCCAAACCTCTCGATTCCATCGCTCTTCTAATTCCTTCATTCCATGAGCGTCGAAATCTACCTCTTTTTCTTCTTCCAGGGGGATTCCAGCTGTGATGTTTTTGGGGCCAACGTTCGGCAGGCATTCTCAATAGGTGTCCAAAAGGTTTTAAACCTCTTCTTTCTGTTCTGTCAATGACAGTTTCTGTAGCATTCATGTTATTTTTTATAGATTCGTTGGTCTTCCTTTCCAGCTTTGATGTTCTAGAACTTCTTCTCAAATAATCCATTTCAACTGCCAGCAATCATCTCTTTATCATCATCATCATTGGCTCTTTTTGGGTCTTGGCCTGTTCCAGGATTCTTCTCCATTCTGATCTGTTTCGTGCTTTTTTTCTCCAGTTTTTTATTTTTAAGGTTGTTGTATCATTTTCTATTTATTCTAAGTATCTCAGCTTCGGTATTCCTATTGTTCTTTTTCCTACTGGCATCTGTTAAATTATTTTGTTTGGTATTTCGCCTTCTTCCATTCTTTCTACATGTCCTATCCAACGCAGCCGCCCTATTTTAATGAATGTTATAATATCCGGATCCTGGTATATTTTGTATAGTTCAAAGTTGTATCTTCTTCGCCATATTCCGTTTTCTTTTGTGTCCTTATATATGTGTCGCAAGATTTTTCTTTCGAAGGTGGCTAACAACGTTTCCTCTCTTTTAGTGAGTGTCCAGGTTTCTAAGCCGTACGTGAGTACCGGTCTTATTAAGGTTTTATATATTTGGCATTTTGTTTTTTTTGCGACGTTATCTGATTTTAGTTGCCTAATTAAGCCATGGTAACACTTATTGGCAATAAATATTCGCCTCTTCACTTCCTCCGCAACGTTATTATCAGACGTGGCTAGGGATCCCAAGTATATAAAGTTTTTTATCCTCTCAATGTTGTATTCTCCTATTGTTATATTTTGTGGCTGCCTTATTTCTGCGTTTTTACTTACCTGCATATATTTTGTTTTATTCTGATTGGTTTTAAGACCACTATTTTGTGCATCTCGTTCTAGTTGGTTGAATGCTTCATTTCTCTTCTTGATCTTGCGATTATGTCAATGATTGTTCCTCGAGTATTGACTGTTGTTTCCCTCAGTAGTTTCTCCGGATTCTACTTTCTACTTTTAGAGATTCTTTTATCAGTTCTATTAGTTGTGTTGGTATATTAAATTCTTTCATTGCTTTTATTAAGAATTCTCGGTTTATATTGTCATATTATGCGCTGTCAAAGTCGTGAGATGATATGTGTTCAAAGAGATGATATGTGTCGATGTTATATTCACTAGTTTTTTCGAGGATCTGTCACAGAACAAATATCTGGTCCATTGTTGACTTCTGTCTACAGAAGCCACTTTGGTATTTGCCAACTATTTTTTCAGCATGTGGTCTAAGTCTTTCATAAATGACGTTGGACATTATTTTGTATGCTGCATTCAGCAGCGTGATTCCACGATAGTTTCCAAATTCTAACTGATTTCCTTTTTTATGTAATGGTACAATAATACCGCTATTCCACAAATTTTCTCTTTAGGTCTGCATTAATTGTCTGTGATTCAGAGACATAACAAAGAACTGATTCAACCATTGTTTGCCCAACCTGGCAATGGTTTTTCCAATTTTGGAGGGCTGCCTCAATGTATAAATTTAAGAGTAAGGGTGACATACTGCATCCTTGTCCTTGTCCTTTTATTTTATTGGCTCTGATAGTATATGTCCGATTTTTAAGTAAGTAGTGTTATCTCTGTATATTTCTGTGATTATTCCTGAAAGGTATGGACTAATGCTGAGTTGTTGTAAAGCTTGCCACAATTTAGGTCTTGTAACTGTATCATACACCTTTTCTAGGTCGAATGAAGGCTAGATGTACCTCGGTACCAACCGCTATTCTTTTTTCTATTAATTGTTGGAGTATAAATAAGTTATCAGTGCAAGATCTACCAGGCGTAAATCCACTTTAGTCTTCGCTAATTAGATGTCCTACATCATCTTGTATTTTTCCATTTATTATCTTTCCCGAAACATCTCCCGAAAGTAGGTAGGTCACTTAATCCTATCTAGCAGTTAGAATCTTTTCGATTACTCTTATCAAGGATGGCCACTTGATGAGCTGTTTTCCATTCAGATGGTACTTTAATTTGTTGGCAGCATTGATTCATTAGAAAAGTTATTCGTTCTATTAGGAATGGACCTGCTGCTTTAATGTGAATACTGCCTTCAATTAAAAAGAACCTGTTTCATTCTCAATTTTTGCATACGATTTGTTGAATTTAAGGTGCCACTCTCTATGTAATATCATTAACCCATTTATTTTATCACGAGGACGATAATCGGGTAATTTATTCTTTCGCCTTCTTTGGAAGTCGCGCAAGTCCAGCTTGGCAACAGTAAGGGCGAAAGTACATGATCCTGTTTCACTCCTTTTACAATACGTAAAGGATTTATCGTTATTATAGTATTAAAATCGTGCATTATTTTTATTTGTGAATGATGTTTGCGATGTAGTTGCATGCATAATATGTAAGACAATTTGCAATAAGGCTTTTTGTTATTAAAACAATCTAAAGATTAACTGGCTTTTCTTTACTTTTCATGCGTACAGAAGCTTACGGAAGTCTGTATGGCCATAAAGGTATGACCTGCATTTCAAGCTGCTAAATGCTTTTTTCCTTGTTTATTTTTATTTTTGTGTTGTATTTTTGGACATTATATGACAAGATTTATTTATAACTTTCTGTGCCTTTCATACATCAAAATGTTAGCAATCAACAAACACAACTTTTGATAACTTGATGCATGCTTAAAAGGGAAGAGTTAGACTGAAGGGTTTATATATGGGTAAAGATAGTGCAAACACTCCTGACCATGGAGCTGCGCGATGGCGGAGTCAAAATTCACGTAAAGGCAGAAAGGTTCTATTGTAAACCAAATTTCGTGTAATGCGATGTGGTCAGGAGTGTTTGCACTATCTCTAATAAGAACCAATAATGATTGGATAAGAAAACATGGACTTTAAAAGTAAAAGGTATCACTAAAAGAATAAAAACTAAAGAAAGAGAATAGAAACTAAAAGAATACTAAAAAACTTTCGCACAGAAAATATGACAGATATTGTGAAACTTGTGAAAATAGTTTAACTTGTAAACACTTACATTAGACGAAATTAAATCTTGTCATACGGTGTATCAATAAATCAACATTTTCCACGCTAATCATGTCTGCTTACCTCTTTTCAAATCAGCTTAATGTTAGCAATCCTTCCGTACTATATTTCCGCCTTCACATTTTCAGTAGTTTCAAAAACGAAAAAAGAATCTTACCGCGATCGTACTCACTAACTCGTTTTTCTAGAACGCCGCTATTTCCGACGGAAAGGAGGACTTAAGCGAGTTGCCGCCCAACCAGAGGCGGAAAAAGCTGATGCTCAAAGTGGAGGAGCTCAAAAATAAAGTTGCTCAAGAGACGGCCACCAGAGACGGACTCATGAAGATGAAGGGAGTGTACGAGGCCAATCCGGCGCTGGGAGATCCTAGGACTGTCGAAAGTAAGTATAATTTGGTTAGTAAGAGAGATACAGATAAAGAAGAAGCGGCAAATAAGAAGTCAGAAAAAATGGTTAATTAATAAGCGAATTGCATAAAAAAGACAAAAAGTAGGATGAAAAAGTGAGAGAATGAGTGAGAGAATGATAATAGAGTGAGAGTATGTTAAAGAGTGAAAGATAATGAAAGAAGGTGGAAAAAGGGCGAAAGATAAAGCACAAAAATAAAAAGAGAGATTGACAAGGGAGAGAGGAAAGAGAGAGAGAGAGAGAGAGAGAGAGAGGGAGGGGGAGAAATAAGATAGTGGACGAATCCTAATCCTAAAGAATAGGATAGAGCTCGACTGAGAGAAAGAGAAAGTAAGAGAGATAGAGAGATATAATAATTTAGAGAGCGTGGAAGATATATAGAGAGTGAAAGATACAAATATAAAGGGTGGAAGTCATGTACAGGTCGAGAGAGCGACAGATTTAACAAGATATAGAGTAAACGAGAGATATAAAGCCCTATATATAGACATATATAGAGAGAAAGAGAAATCGGGAGGGATAGGGAGAAGGGGCTAAAGAGAAAGTGAGATTGAGGTAGAGAAAAATAGAGAGAACGAGATGTATAGATTGGGAGAGCGAGAGACTGATAAAACGAGACATAGAGCGCGGATGAAGGAAAGGTGAGAGAAAGAGAGGGTGACAGAGAGAGGGAGAAAATGAGATAAAGACAGGGATAAGGATATAGAGAATACGAGGGTAAGATAAAGAATGTGAGAGTGTATGTAATATAAAAAATTAGAAAGAGAGACTGCGATATGGCTTAAGCGAGAATGAGACTTAGGTAGGGAATTAGGGAGACAGGTAGAGAGAGGCAGAGTGATGTAGCGAAATAGAAAGTAAAATAAACCAAGAGGTAGAGAGATAATTAGTATAAGGATGTAATCTTATGCATAGATAGTGTGAAATATAGATAGAGAGAGTGGGATAGAGAGTTTAAGAGTGGTTAGATAGAAAGGAAGTAGAAACGAATAGAAGGAAAAATGAGAGATAGAATGATGAGGAGAGTGACATATAGAGAAATAAAATAGGGAGAATGATAGAGACACTGTGAGAGAATGTATAGATGAATGAATATAGATATTGAGAGTGAGAATGGGATAGAAGATATGATGGAGATTGAGATATAGGGAGCGAGATACATGAAAATATAGAGAATAGCAGAGATATAAGGATATTAACAGAGCGAGAGGGATACAGAGAAGGACTGAGAATCGAGCGAGGGTGAGTGACAGGAGGGACAACAAGAGAGAGAAAGAAATAGAAAGTGTGGTAGAAAAAGAATGTGAAAAGAAATAGGGAGAGATGAGTTACATACGGTGAAAGTTAGATATAAGGAGAAAATAAGAGGGGGAAACAGAAGGAAAGAAACAGATAAAGGGAGATAAGGATTTAGAGAATAGGAAAGAATGTGTGTGTATAAAAAATTAGTGAGAGGGGTGGGGGGAGAATAAATCCGGAAAGTAATGAGAGAAAAATGTGCTTATAGGAGCCATACTATATAAGAAATTTTGCCTTGTGGTGCACATCTTGAGGGGATGTGGGTGTGGGATATATAAATGTTACTAACACTGATATTAAAAAAAATCATTTTTTGCCGTTTCAGGTCAGCTAAATGAGTGCAGCCATCGTTTGGATAAGCTACAGCAGGATCTAGCGCGGTACCAAGCTTTCCTCGAGGATACTATCAAGGGTATCCAATCGGGACATAATAATTCTCTTACAAATTCTCCTAGGTAAGATTTGAACTAGAAATATGCTATAGAAATTTTGTGTTTTGGAAGAAGCTACGAAAAAATGGCTTCAGTGAAATATTTTGATCCCAGATCTGGTAAAATAAAATTTTAACAATTTCTAAAATCGGTTTTGACAGGTTATTGAACGGTTCCAGGCGTCGGAATTCCGGAGGAAGTGCCGCAGAAGAAGAGTCGTTAAGTAGATCAGCCAGTGATAGCAGCGTAAATCATAATAACCACAATAATCACAACCACAGCAAACCTTCAGCACCTGGAACACCACAGATGAACAACCACGGGTAATTAATATTGAATCGATCGTTTATCCAATTTTTAGAGATTGTGCAACGTTGTATTTCGTTTAAAAACTTGTCTAAATCAACGTAGCCTATCTGTGTGCACAATTTTATTAATAATTATGGAAGTTTTGACCATTTTTTTGCGTCTTTGAGCATAATCTTTTAAAATTGGGAAGACTTGTTAAAAAAATAATATATTGATGGTTAAATCTTGCACTTTTAGTCATTATTCATTTTAAGCCGTTGTAGTGTACATATATCGTCGTATAATTTTCATTTAGTATTTACACTGACCGGCTAAAAAGTGGCCACCTTACAAATTTCCGAAAATAAAAATTCATTTGAAGTTTTATGCACTGTTTCATATGGTATACTCAATATCTTTCATTTTTATAACAAAAACTGTCAAGTTTATTAATGTCATTAGCATAATTTATTTAATTAGAAGGCTACAAAAGAAAATTTTGTAATATCGAAGCTAATTACAAACAATAAAAATTACGAGTGAACTTGAACAAAATTGTCTCATATCGGGTATTATGCCCTAAAACATCAATAACCGTTTGCATACGATTTGGAAGAGAAACAGAAAGGAGAAGAGAAAGGAACAAATTTTGAATAAAAACTTGAGGAATACGTTCATATTCTTCATGAAGCATATATTGAAGTTCTGCAAGACTTTCTGGCTAGCCTGGTTGACTTGTTCGATGATATTCAGATCAGGGCTGCATGCTGGCCATTCTAGAGTATTATTTCCCACTTCTCCCAAGTAATTTGTCACGATTCTTGCAGTATGCAGCCGTGCATTGCGATGCATAAAGATGAAATTGTTGCCAATAAATGGACCATTTATGGACCATACTGCTTCAGAAGAAGATCAGGATGAAACACAATTTGGCTTCATAAATGGACTGGGAACTGGGGACGCCCTCTTTACACTAAATGTATTACTGCAGAAATGTCGAGATCAAAGGAAAGACGTCTTTGCTGTATTTATTGACTATGAAAAGGCCTTTGATCGAGTACAGCATCACAAATTAATTACAATATTAAAAGATAAAGGAGTTGATAGTCAAGACATACGATTCATAGAAAAATTATACTGGCGTCAAACAGCGACAGCTTGCATAAACGGAAAATCAACAGAAATATGTAAAATACAAAGAGGTGTCAGACAGGGTTGTATACTATCTCCACTGTTATTTAATTTATATTCAGATAGAATATTTAAAGAAGCGCTGCATAATTTGGAATGGGGCGTGAAAGTTAATGGAATTCTGATAAATACAATCAGATATGCAGACGATACAGTTATTTTAAGTGATGACATGAATGGACTACAATGCCTTTTAAATGCCATTGATACAGTGGGAAGAGAGTTTGTTCTAAACATAAACTGTTCAAAAACACGTTTAGCACATCAAGATGCACGATTATATGTTGATGGTCATATAATTCAAAGAGTGTCCAGTTTTAAATATCTTGGTTGCCATATTACTGAACAACTAGATCCAGATCAAGAGATAAAATGTAGAATCGAGATAGCCCGCACGACAGTTTTAAAAATGAGGTCATTCTTCTGTAATGATAACTTGCAACTTCAACTTCGAAAGCGCATGGTTAAATGCTACATTTGGTCAGTCCTGTTATACGGTGTCGAAGCATGGACATTAAAAATATCCACCATTAATCGTCTAGAGGCCTTTGGAATGTGGCTGCACAGACGTATACTAAAAATTCCATGGACGGCTATGCTGACAAATGTGGCAGTCCTTGAGAGAGCAAATGCTGCTCGCGAGCTGCTTGATAACATCAAATGTAGAAAGATGACCTATTTTGGACACGTAAGGGGAGACCGATATAATATTCTTCCACTTATTATGATGGGTAAAATCGAAGGACGCAGAGGAATTGGTAGAAAGCAGGCCTCTTGGTTGAAGAATATCAGAGAGTGGACAGGAATAAAGAAAGCTGAGCAACTCTTTAGAATAGCTCGAGACACAGACAGTTTGGCCATGTTAATCGCCAACGTCAAGGGGACTTGATAGGGCACGTTAAGAAGAAGACTGCTTCTGTCAAAACATCCACTATATACCGGTGAGTATTCAGGGGGGCCATTAATTAAAATATGTTCAGTTCGAGCTTCAAATGAGATTCCAGCCCAAACCATGACACCACCACCGCGAAGCTTTCTTCTCCGAGACATACAAACTTAGCATCTTTCATTTCTCCGTCTCCAAACCCTCTCTCTGCCATCGCCAGACTTCAAACAGACTCGCGATTCATCAGTAAAGATAATTCGGCTCCAATCCTGTATATGCCAGTGTTGATATTGTCGAGCAAAAATTAATCGATTCTCACAGTGGTGAGAATTCAGGAACAATAGTGGCCTTCTTGCCATTAGTTCTTTCATTAAGGTGTCTTCTAACTGTTCTCTCACTTACATTAACATTTTGAACCTTCTGCAGACGGTTTTTTGTAGCAATTGCAGTGGAATGGCGAATTCTTAAAAGTTCCATCACAATAAAACGATCATCTCTTTGCGGGTAACTCTTCTTGGGCCGGAACCAGGTCGACATGAGTATGTACCAGTCTCTATAAACTGATGGAAAGATCTCCTTATTGTAGTTTTTAGAATACCTAAAGGTTCGGATACTTAACTTATACGTTTTGTAGCAATGCAATAATATGAGCAACATCATATTTTAATTATTCACTTAGTCGAAATTCACGTTTGAAAAGCTAAATTACTGTTTAATTAAATGTTTTCGACTTTTAAGAAGATAAACTTTATTTTCGGAAATTTATAGGGTGGCCACATTTTTGGACGTTCAGTGTATATTACTTAAGTTTTGAACTTAAATACAGAACATTTAATATATTGGATTAAGATTGAAAAGAACCAAAGAGTCATACATTTGAAAATTTGGAAAAACACATAGTATGTTGGAAAAGAAGAAGAATATTGTCTTAAAAACAGAGACATAAGAAAGGTTGAAAATTAAAACAGGAGAATTAAAATCAACGTGAGATATGTCGATGACATTGTTGTACTAGCGAAAATAAGGAAGCAATTGAACCTTTCTTAAGCAAATTACATCGGGCCTCAACTTCTCATCTCAAAAAAAACCTCCATCATAAAATGTTTTTACTTTTAAACAAAGATTTACAATTTTTCTTTGTCATTTAGACTAAAAATACACCTTATATTACTTGCTTGGCAATATGGATCAATTTTTAATATTAAAGAAAGAATTCTACGACGACATTTGTACACTGTTTGACATCGGCTTTAAATTTTTTGACATAGTTGTTCCAATAGTCCCGAAAGTGGCCTGGGCACGTCGCATACCTCCCTGCCGGGCGCTGACTCCGACCCTGACCAGTATGATGGCAACGGCGGCGAAAGCGAGTACTACGAAGCCGACTTGCTGCCATCTATCGGCACCTGCAAAGCGTTGTATCCATTCGAAGGTAAGCAATTTTTTAAAGATTTCTATCAATTTTTTTATAGGGAGCGGCGTAATATACACTACAAGACCCGTATTTGATCTATTCGCGAGGAACCGCAAACTGGGCGACGCCTGGTGTTAGATTTTAAAAGCATCCACTTCAGGAAAACCTTGAAATTGTCATTATTTTGTATACATATTAGCAATCGGTTTATATTCTAATTAACAATGACTTCAATTTCAAAAAACTAGTGCAATGTTTCTTAATGTTTATCCTATTATAATTCACAAAAAAAATTCTATTTAAAGTTTCCGCTGGACGAGAATATGAGAAAAGTTTGGCAATGCATTTTGCGAATTGGAAAATCTATAAAGTACATGACTGTGTGCAGTTTACATTTTATTGAGAACGATTACTTCCCAAGTGTGAAGCAGGAATTCAACAATTTAGAATTTCTCATTGAGTTCCTATGGCCCGTTTGACGATTCACCACCCTGTATAATTAAAACTGAAAAAATACACAATAATACTCACTAATAATTTCGTTGGTACCTGCGCCACCATTTTGGCCCTTTCTTATAAACCCAAATAAAACTGATGCAACTAATTTAATTTTGTTTTTTTTTTAGCCACGAGTGAGGGCAGCATCCCGATGTCGCAAGACGAAGAGCTCCACCTTATCGAGCTAGATCAAGGTGACGGTTGGACTAGAGTGAGAAGAATGCTAGGTGATTTGGAAGAAGGTTTTGTGCCAACATCATATATAGAATACACGTTGTTCAATACTTAATTGCAAACAGAAACGTTGATAGCAAAAAGGGTGGTAACTTAAAAGTGTCGAAGAGCATCAATTTTTTGAAATTGAGTATATTTTTGTAAATTATTTATGCAATATTTAAAGAAATGGTTGTTGGACGGTTAGAGTTTTGTAGAAGGTTAAATGCATTTTGTTATGAGTATTTATTTTGTGTATATTCGGTGATTTCCACCAGAACCTGATGGAAAATATAAATAAATCCACGATCGATGTTTCGGCGTCAATAAAACTGTCATCATAATAATTTATTTATTATTATAACTATTTCCTTGAAACAAGGATTTAAATTTCCTATTTTGAATGTCTTAAACTTTACTTAACCGATTTCTTGTATGCTCTTGTATACGTTCCTAAAGTTTCTCCTTCTTTGTCCTATGTAAATATTATGAATTTACAAGCTGTTTTAGGAAGTTTAAAAGTTATTTAAACCTTACATTGGACAAACAGGAAGAACTTTTAGAAAAGTTCATTGAAACACAAAAGAAGAGATTTCACGTGTGCATTTGTGACATTTCAGCAAAATCATAGCTTTACAATGGTAACTGGTAGTCGAGTATGTTCTTCTTTTTTCCTATCTATCCTTTACCGAATATTGTTAATCATTTTGACACTATTTTTATTTACATCGCTTTGAAGAGCCTTTTGATGCATTTTGTCAAGTTCTTTAGATAAAATATTTCCTATTTTCAACGCTTTACCATCACGTGCGAAAAATACATTGCTAAGAAACAATCGTCGTGAATTTATTGATGCGTTTTTGCATTTGTCTATATTTTTATTTATTCAGCATTTTTTTAAACCTAAAAATGACCAGTGAATTTTTATCTTGATTCCTAATCGAACCTTCTACGAAATCCTCGAATCCCATGCAATATTTTTTTCCGTTTTATTGTATATTTACATATTTTTATAAACTGTAGTAGATAATCGAGAAAAAAAATCATATTATTTACTTTTTTTATTTTTTACTAAATGTTTACGTTATTTCTTTTATTGAACAAGATAATTTTAAAAAAACTTGCGATCAAAGTATTCCTTAGTCATATCTTTATAATGTGTTGCTTGTGCGCAGTATGTGTGTGAATACGGGGTTGGTCAAAATGTAGGAGTTAAATATTTTCATAGTTTTTTAGTACGAACGATGTGAAATGAGACGACAAGAAAATTTAATGTAAAAACTGACGGCAATGCTAATGTTGGAGGCGATTTGCTAATATAACTTTTTCGTTTGGTAAATTTCTCTCCCATTGTCCCTCTGGAAACGCAGAGTAATATGATGAATTTTTTTCGATTATCTTGGTATCCGGTCATTATCAAAATTGGAGAATGTTGATCCGCTAATTGAGTGCCTTCATTTAACACGTAACTTAACCTTCAGTGACGAATGAGTATACTATAATATCTATATACTGTTCCAATATTACCGGTTTATTAATATATATTTTTATTTTAACTTCTTACATCGGCTACTCCACAAATTTAGTAATCCGTCAAATATAACTGTATGCTCCAAAATTGGCGTTCCATTTACTTAAGCGCACCAGTGGCTTCTTAAAAAAGGGCACTGTACCAATAGACTACCTTTTCGTAACAATAAATTACCTTAATTTTTGTTCTATTTGGTATATTTGTCTTTTTTTCGGATTTTGCAGTGTTTCAATTGAAAAAATATTAATATACGCTTCAAAATTGGCGTTCCATTTACTTAAGCGCACCAATGGCATTGTATGGATTCAATGGTTTTCTTAAAAATTCAATTGAAAAAAATATTAATTCATAAAATATTACTGTGTGGTCCAAAATTGGCGCTTCATTTACTTAAGCGCACCAGTGGCGTCTTAAAAAAGGGTACTGTAACAATATGATACCTTTTCCTATAAATTCTGGTGTGTGATTTATACAAAATTGTTTATAAAATAAATTATTAGTCGAAAGAAAATGCAAAAAAGTATTTTTGAAGTGTGTATATTTTAGGCAATTCCTAGCTGAGCGCTTTCGGCTTTACAAAGCCATCATCAGAGCTATGGTCAATTTTTTAAAATACCACTACAAAGAAGAGATCTCATTTCCTTAAGTTTTAAAATTATGATATTGTAGGAGTTGGAATTCTTAAAACACATAAAAAACATATAAAAAGTCGACACTGGACTTCACAAACACGTTAAAAAATTGAAAAAATTTTTGTCATGGTACGGGTTTTAAGACCCGACCATCTATTGATGTGAGGACGTAGACTGAAATAGTCTACTATTCTATTCAGTCTACGTCCTCACATCAATAGATGGTCGGGTCTTAAAACCCGTACCATGACAAAAATTTTTTCAATTTTTTAACGTGTTTGTGAAGTCCAGTGTCGACTTTTTATATGTTTTTTATGTGTTTTAAGAATTCCAACTCCTACAATATCATAATTTTAAAACTTAAGGAAATGAGATCTCTTCTTTGTAGTGGTATTTTAAAAAATTGACCATAGCTCTGATGATGGCTTTGTAAAGCCGAAAGCGCTCAGCTAGGAATTGCCTAAAATATACACACTTCAAAAATACTTTTTTGCATTTTCTTTCGACTTGTCATAAGTGTGTACAAAAAATATCAGTCTTTGATTGTTAAAATAAATTATGCCTTGTTCTTTTTCAATTGTTTGGTATATTTGTCATTTTATTCGGATTTTGTATGGATTCAATGGTTTTCTTAACAATTCAATTGAAAAAAAAGTTAATTCATAAAATATTACTGTGTGGTCCAAAATTGGCGCTTTATTTACTTAAGCGCAACAGTGGCGTCTTAAAAAAGTTTACTGTAACAATATAATACCTTTTCCTATAAATTCTGATGTACGATTTATACAAAACCTTTTATAAAATAAACTATGCCTTGTTCTTTTTCTATTCTTTGGTAATTTGTCATTTTATTCGGATTTTATAGAGCTTCTTTGGTTCTTCTAGCGATTCAATTGAAAAAAATATATTAATTCATAAAATATTACTGTCAGGTCCAGAATTGGCGCTCCATTTACTTAAGCGTACCAGTGGCGTCTAAAAAAAGGGTACTGTAACAATATGATACCTTTTCCTATAAATTGTAATGTGTAATTTGTACAAATCCTTTTATAAAGTCAATTATACCTTGTTCTTTGTCTATTCTATGATATATTTGTCACTTTATTCGGATTTTGCATGGATTCTTTGGTTTTCTTAACAATTCAATTGAAAAAAAAAATTAATTCATAAAATATTACTTTAAGGTCCAAAATTGGCGCTTCATTTACTTAAGCGCACCAATGGCATCTATATATCCTATAGCAATATGATACCTTTTCCAATAAATTCTGGTGTGTGATTAATACAAAATCTTTTATAAAATCAATTATGTCTTGTTGTTTGTATATTCTTTGATATATTTGTCACTTTATTCGCATGTTGTAGTGTTTCTTTGGTCTCTGTCTTTAAACACATGTTTTTGGAGATAATCATTAATTGTTATACAGTTTATTTATTTAATATGAACTCAATACTTGCAGTATGATGAAAGCAACATAAGTTTTAATACTCTTTGTGAACAAATTCCGTAACAGAAAAAAGACATTTTACTTTTGATCTAGAGTTTCACTAAAACACCTATTTTTGACCAACTCGGTACTATATTATTAAAAATTGCGGCTTAGCACAATTATTTAGTTCCTACGATAGGAACTTAGCTGTTGTTTAGTGATGCAGTTATACAGTGGAGGAAGAAATGCATGATTTCGAGGTAATTCTTAACGAACGTTCTTGAATCAGTCTTGATGATGAAAGTAATGTTACGATTCACCTTAATTGTTGATAAATTAAGTTTGTTGAATATAGAAGCGAGAAAATGATTAAAAACAGTGTCAAATAGCTGTGGAGTGTATTGTGGATACAAAAATGAAGCCTTATATATTATACAGTGTAACACTCTTTAAAAAAAGTTGGGTAAAATTACTCACAACGTGATTTGTTCTCACAAATTTACAGAACTACAAAATCATATATATCTCGTGTTTCAGTTATTTTGTGTGAAGGCTTGGTCTATTAAGGGATTCATAGTGACGTCAGACACATTTAAACGGGGTGTGAGACCATTTTACCACTCTAAAAGATATACTAGTGGCTGCAAAGCCACAAACTGGGCAATAATACATACAATAATTTGTCATAAGTTAATAATTTCATATTTTCTCACCTTTTAAACCTAACTTGGACTTCTACAAATATTTTAAAACCAAAATTAACCAAATCGGTCCAGTTGTATATGTAAGAAGGGGTTAATGGGTATGCAGCTGAATTAATAAAGTCAAGAGTACTCTTTTTTTCAAATATATTTCGGATGATTTATACCATCATCAGTAATAGCTAACAAGTTTATGATGAGTTATATGTAAGCAAAGATTTAACTTACAAATTTGACATTGCAGTCATTAGATTGAAATGATACGTAAAAAAATACTCGAAAAAAATAACAAACATATCACCATGTTAAGTGGAGTTACAATTTCTTTTTTAAAAAACAAACGTTGGCTTAAAGTTTAATATCTACATACAAACATTGGTTTAATGTTATTGTTATTCATTCCTTAAACCAATGTTTGTTTTCTAAAAAAGAAATAGTAACTCCACTTAACATGGTGATATGTGTGTTATTTTTTCGAGAATTTTTTTACATACTATTTCAATCTAATTACCGCAATCTCAAATTGGTAAGTTAAATCTTTGCTTATATATAATGTAACTCATCAACTTTTTAGCTATCACTGATGGTATAAAGTATATATAATGACCTCTATTAGTCTCTCTAAAACTCGAGAATGACTGGACCGATTTGGCTAATTTTTGTTTTGAAATATTTGTAGAAGTCCAAGTAAGGTTTGTTCATACATAGACAAAAAAATTAGAGGCAATTTTTGTTATTTATTTAATTTTAATTGATTGTTTAGTCATTTATATAATTTAAAATATTAAAATAAAAAAAACTTAAAAAAAAGGCAAAAAATTTTTCAAATACGCACCACTGCACTAGTTTTTCTGAAAATTTTTAATTTGTTGTGCAATCTTTATATATTATGATGAAAAACAAATATTCAAAACAAAATATTGAGGAATTTTTAAGTAAAAACAACTGATCAGATCATAGAAAAGATTTTTACGAGTGGACACATGACAATGTTATAAAAACACAAAAATTGTTTTTTTTTCATGCCCCAACACCAATTTCTTCTTTAATATAAAATAATTTAAATGAAAAGCAATTTGCTTGGCATATTTTATCGTGAATTATTTTTTCACTGCACTACAACGCACATTTCGGTAAATTTTTGCGAATATTTAGATTTAGTGATAAAATTAGTGAACTGCAATGAGTAATGTGCAATTTAAGGATCTCATTTATCGATGAACTAAATATCTGGTGTTTACTATACAACTAAATATCTGGTGTTTACTATACAAAGACTTTCGTTAATAGTGATATCTTTTGTATTGTACTGATATAAAACGACTTGATAAAAAATCAGAAGGCAAGGCGAAATCCACGTTCAGGCCACCAGCTAAACGGTAACTTGAATAGTCAGTGGCGTCACACAAGGTTTTATATCGTAACACTGTTTCATAAAAAATGTAATGTAAAATATTTTTTACCGATCTTTTAAGTATTACCTCGAAAATTGTTCGTTGAATGGCCCTGTACATTATAGCAATTACTTTGTATATAGTATGCAGATATTAATATTAATTATTGAGCTGTATTGTATAAAATATATAGATGTATAGTAATTGTAATTTGCTAAAAAATCAAACGTAAGATTAATACACAATTATCAACTTCATTTTTGTGTTTTTGCACTTATAGGTATATGAAATAGAGAGAGAGAAACATTTTTATTACTACATATAAGGAATTATTTATTTTTTTAT